ATGATTAAGAGACTCCTCTTGAAAAAAATAGAAGATCGAGAGGATGTTCAAAATTTCTTTCTCGATAAATATCAAGAGAATTTTCTATCTCCCGACAAAAGCTTGAGAGAATTTTCTATAAAAAAGGACTCCCTAGGAAGACCAATTACACTTATCTGAGTAGAAGACTTGAAAGGCTTCTCTCAGAAGACCTGAAGGTTTTCTCTCAAAAGACTTAAAGGTCTTCACTCAAAAACTTGAAAATCTCTTCTGAGAAGGCTTAAAAGTCTTCTCTCAAAAAACTTCAGGACTCCTCTCAGAAGACTTGAAGGTCCACCAGAAGACCCAAAGGTCTTCTCTCAGAAGATTTGAAAGTCTTCCCTCAGAAGACCTGAAGGTATTCTCTCAGAAGACGACAACTTGAACGTCTTATCTCAGAAGACTTAAAGGTCTTATCTCAGAAGAGTTGAAAGTCTTCTTTAGAAGACTTAAAATTCTTCTCCCAGAAGACTTAAAAGTCTTCTCTTAGAAGACTAAAAAGTCTTTTCTCCTCTGCTATTCTCGGGAAAGACCAGCAACTCTTCTCGGAGAAAACTAGCTACTCCTCTATGAGAAGACCAACTGCTCTTCTCCGAGAAGACCAACTGCTCTTCTCCGAGAAGACCAACTGCTCTTCTCCGAGAAGACCAACTGCTCTTCTCCGAGAAGACCAACTGCTCTTCTCCGAGAATACCAGCAGCTCTTCTCCGAGAATACCAGCAGCTCTTCCATGAGAAGAACAACTGCTCTTCCCCGAGAAGACCAGCAGCTCTTCTATGAGAAGACCAGCAGCTCTTCTATGAGAAGACCAGCAGCTCTTCTATGAGAAGACCAACTGCTCTTCTCCGAGAAGACCAACTGCTCTTCTCCGAGAAGACCAACTGCTCTTCTCCGAGAAGACCAACTGCTCTTCTCCGAGAAGACCAACTGCTCTTCTCCGAGAAGACCAACTGCTCTTCTCCGAGAAGACCAACTGCTCTTCTCCGAGAAGACCAACTGCTCTTCTCCGAGAAGACCAGCAGCTCCTCTATGAGAAGACCAGCAGCTCCTCTATGAGAAGACCAGTAGCTGCTCTTCTATGAGAAGACCAGTAGCTGCTCTTCTATGAGAAGACCAGTAGCTGCTCTTCTATGAGAAGACCAGTAGCTGCTCTTCTATGAGAAGACCAGTAGCTACTCTTCTATGAGAAGACCAGTAGCTGCTCTTCTATGAGAAGACCAGTAGCTGCTCTTCTATGAGAAGACCAGTAGCTGCTCTTCTATGAGAAGACCAGTAGCTGCTCTTCTATGAGAAGGCCAGTAGCTGCTCTTCTATGAGAAGGCCAGTAGCTGCTCTTCTATGAGAAGGCCAGTAACTGCTCTTCTATGAGAAGGCCAGTAGCTGCTCTTCTATGAGAAGGCCAGTAGCTGCTCTTCTATGAGAAGGCCAGTAGCTGCTCTTCTATGAGAAGGCCAGTAGCTGCTCTTCTATGAGAAGGCCAGTAGCTGCTCTTCTATGAGAAGGCCAGTAGCTGCTCTTCTATGAGAAGGTCAGTAGCTGCTCTTCTATGAGAAGGCCAGTAGCTGCTCTTCTATGAGAAGGCCAGTAGCTGCTCTTCTATGAGAAGGCCAGTAGCTGCTCTTCTATGAGAAGACCAGTAGCTGCTCTTCTATGAGAAGGCCAGTAGCTGCTCTTCTATGAGAAGACCAGTAGCTGCTCTTCTATGAGAAGACCAGTAGCTGCTCTTCTATGAGAATACCAGCAGCTCTTCTATGAGAAGACCAGCAGCTCTTCTATGAGAAGACCAATTGCTCTTTTCTATGAGAAGACCAATTGCTCTTTTCTATGAGAAGACCAATTGCTCTTCTCTGAGATGGCCGGGTGATTTTCTCTAAGAAGACCGAGTGCTCTTCTATGAGAAGACCAATTGGTCTTCTCTGAGAAGACCTAGTGATTTCTCTGAGAAGACCGAGTGCTCTTATCTGTACTTCTCCGAGAAGAGAAAACTAACTGCTCTTCATTGAGAAGGCCAATTGCTCTTCTATGAGAATATCCATTGCTCTTCTATTCTCCTTATGATCTATCTCTCTCTCTCTTTTGCGGAAAAATCCAATTCCTAGCCATGAACCCCAAAAAAATCTGCTCATTATTCCTTAGTCTCCCCACCTTAAAAGACAATTTGTATTCTTCCAATATTTATTTGTCATTTTAAGTTAACGATTCGGTAGCCGAGTGCTTAGTTAGCGATTAAAGTGCGCACATAAATATCTTTTGTGGCCCGTTGCTGTTCGACAAAAAAAGTGAATATAAGTAAAATTTTCATGCCAAATTGATGTTATGTTGATGTCGTTTTTCTTATTTTGTTGCTGCTGTTCTTCGCTCCCAAGCCAGAGGTGTTTGCAAAGCCATTAAAAGATCGATTCGTGGGGGTAATTATCAATGGAGCAATGGCAATAAAGAAGTATTGCAGGTGTAGCCCGTAGACCAATCGTTGATGTGGTTGGAGCAGCTCTCTCGTTGCACTGGTGATTGCCATAATTTGTTTTAAAACCTTTTTCAGTTATTATTTATATTTGTAATTGGTATTAATTAATAGGTATGTTTGAAGGTGTGTGTGTGTGTGAGTAATCTCAGAGAGCTGGCATCTTGTTAAGAGCAGACGTCTTGTTATGCCAATGGTAGTGTGTGGTGGATAGGTAGTTAACCCAACCACTATGGCTGGGTTGTGCCCCACCAACTGGAAAAGGGTGTGTGTGTGAGCGTTTATGTGTTTGATAACATCTGATATCCCCCACCGACCAGGGCAATTAGTTCGATGACAAATCATTGTTCTGGCCAATTTGTCAATTAATTCGCACAGATTTATCTGTTAACTGATTTATCATGCCAACCTCGTCATGGAGTGGGAATCCAATTGGAATGTGAATTTGCAAAAGATTTGTAACAGAATTATCGCTAGCCCCTGAAATGACCACATCTGTTTGTCTGGCCGTCGATTTCTATTGTCTTCCATTTTAGCGCTGGCTAAAAGAGACATTAATTCTAGACTTCTGGTAATTTAATTATGACAACATGACATAAACTTGACCTCAAAGCCTGAGCATTACGATTTAGTTTTGGATTAATGCCAATTCGATGTCGAAGGCATGGGTGGTGGTACGGCAGCAGATTTATTATTATTATTATCGGCATCCATGGACTGCAGTTATTTAGCCACTACTCTGTTTTCTTTGAGAATTCGCTAATGGCAAGTGAAAGGATTTGTTTACATGACTCTGTGGCCAATGAATGGCAGCGGGTTAGATTTTTTTTTATTTACCACCCGTGGCTGTGGAGCTAAAAATGGAATATTGAATGTGATTCATTACCGGCCACTATGAGCAATGGAATGTGACAAATGTAATTAGGAAAGGCATTTCTATAATAGGTTGTTGTCAAGACCATAATTGAGGGGAAGTTATGCGGACATTCTTGGAAGAATTTTCAGAAAGCCAAATCAGAAGGATTTCTCAAAGAGGTCTTCTCATAGAAGAGCTGTAGGTCTTCTCATAGAAGAGCTATAGCTCTCTTCTCATAGAAGAGCTATAGGTCTTCTCATAGAAGAGCTGTAAGTCTCTTTTCATAGAAGAGATGTAGGTCTCTTCTCATAGAAGAGCTATAGGTCTCTTCTCATAGAAGAGCTATAGGTCTCTTCTCATAGAAGAGCTATAGGTCTCTTCTCATAGAAAACTATAGGTCTCTTCTCATAGAAGAGCTCTTGGTCTTCTCATAGAAGAGCTCTCGGTCTTCTCATAGAAGATCTATAGGTCTCTTTTCATAAAAGAGCTATTATCTTCTCATAGAAGAGCTATAGGTCTTCTTCTCATAGAAGAGCTATAGGTCTTCTAATAGAAGTGCTATAGGTCTTCTCATAGAAGAGCTATCGGTCTTCTCATTGAATAGCTATAGATCTCCTCATAGAAGAGCTCTCAGTCTTCTCATAGAAGAGCTATAGGTCTTCTCATAGAAGAGCCGTAGGTCTTCTCATAGAAGAGCTATAGGTCTTCTTCTCATAGAAGAGCTATAGGTCTTCTTCTCATAGAAGAGCTATAGGTATTCTCATGGAAGAGCTATAGGTCTTCCTCTCATAGAAGAGCTATAGGTCTTCCTCTCATAGAAGAGCTATAGGTCTCTTCTCATAGAAGATCTCTAGGTCTTCCCATAGAAGATCTCTAGGCCTTCTCATAGAAGATCTCTAGGTCTTCTGATAGAAGATCTCTAGGTCTTCTCATAGAAGAGCTATCGGTCTGCTCATAGAAGAGCTGTCGGATTTCTTATAGAAGAGCTATCGGTCTTCTCATAGAAGAGCTATAGGTCTATAGACTTAAAGGCGTTCTCTCAGAAGATTTCAACGTCTTCTTTTGGAAGACTTGGACGTCTTCTTTTGGAAGACTTGAACTCTTTTCTCAGAAGACTTGAAGGTTTTCCCTCAGAAGGCTAGAAGTCCTTCTCTTAGAAAATTCGAAGGTTTTCTTTCAGAAGATTTGAGATTTGCCCTTAGAATACTAGCAGGTCGTCTCATAGAAGGATTATTGAAGACCGGAACATTTTCTCATTGAAGACGACTTGACCTTTTTGGTTTTCTCTCTAAGAGAAGTAGGCCCACTCTCAGAAGACCACTTGGTCTTCTTATAAAAAGAAACTGTTGATCTCCTCCATAGGACTTCTTTGGAAAAAATATTTTCTACAGGTCTTCCTTTAACACAACACCATCTACAAACCTTCTATAGAGAGAACAGCTTCTTAAGGTCTTAAATGGCTGGAATACAATCTACAGATAATCCAAGGATAGAAGACCTCCTAAACTCCTCTTTCAAGGCCTTGAATACCTCTTTGTTTTCTCATAAAGAAACTATGGATCTTCTCATAGAACTCCTTTAGAACTCGGAATTATTATATTTAGTTCGAAGTTCGTCTTTTTCTAAAATCATTAACTTTTTTCTTCATATATTTTATTATTCCAGGTGAACGTTACGATTTCATTATTACCGCCGATCAACCTGTTGGAGCCTACTGGATTCAGCTGAGAGGTTTGGGTGAATGCGGTATCCGACGTGCCCAACAATTGGCCATTTTGCGTTATGCTCGCGGACCATATCAGCCGGCATCACCACCACCAACCTATGATGTTGGTATTCCACAGGGTGTGGTAAGTTTCGACAAAAAAAAACATTTTTTTAAAACAAAAAAATCACAGGGGAAAAACAACAACATTTAACGAAAAATAACAATTTAGATGAGTTTTTTAAACGATTTTTATGGAAATCCAAAAAAATCGACAACTTTAGAATCAACACAAAATTGCTAGGCAAATTTAGAGATTAGCTAAGAAGTGGCACCCTAGACACAAATTAAGTGTAGGCATCAATTTAATAACATCATCGTTTAAATTGCCTATCATTTATTGGCTGTCAATTAAGTGATTCAAGAGAACATAATTCAAATATTTTTTGTTGTAGTTTGTCTGGTGTTAAATTGTTCCGACAAAGCGGGTGGGTTTAGTTGGTAAATGCCAGATAAGCTCCATCTCTTTAAATGGAATTCTTAGACATAGAATAGACAATTTTTTTTGGTATTAGAAGTAGGAACAGTGATTAGATATTTCAACACCCACTCATAGGTATACACACACGCATACACTCACACACATACATTGACATTTTCATAGGCCATAAGAAAAGTGTTCATTTTGTTTTTATTTATAACTAACAAAAAAAAATTGAATAAAAAACAATATGAGAACATCTTAAGGTAAGTAACATTTTCATTCTTCATTCATATGCTCCACCCCCCACCCAATCCACCCAACAAGTCGCAAGATATTCTGTATTCTGTATATATATAGTGAAACACTTAGCTGGCAGAGAAGGCAATTAAGTGTTCCATCGAGCGATGTTTGTACGTGCGTCCCAATCCAAAGATATTTTATGAAATGTTGACAAGCGAATTTGTAGCAAGTGGGCGTTTAAGTGATATAATAATTTGGCGGATTTGTAGAATAGAAAATTACAAAATAATCGTAATTCAGCTAGCTGCTAATTGGCTGGCGTCTGTCGTACAATGTTGCAATGGATTAAATTTAAAGAGATTTAAATTGAGATGTATAATAAATGAGACTTTAGACTATGGTATTCTATCTATAAAAGACCTATAGGGACTACTCTTCAATAGAAAACTTGAAAAATTTCCCCAGTCTACTGAGGATTCGAATAAAATATTCTAGCCATAGAGGACCAATAGATGGTATACTGACCATAGGAAACCCGTGGATGGCGTTCTGTCTATAGAAGACATATGGAAGGTATTTTGTACATAAAAAACACCGGTGGCAGGTATTCTGTCCACATAGGGCCTAAGAAGGGCTTATATACCTGTAGGACCAATAAATGGTATAATGACCATAGAAAACCTGTGGATGGCGTTCTATCCATAGAAGACCTATGGAAGGTATTCTGTGCATAGAAAACCGGTGGAAGGTATTCTTTCCACATAAGGCCTAAGAAGACCTTAAAAGCCCTGTGGGAGATCTTATGTATATGGAAGAACTGTGGAGGGTATTCTGTCTATGGAAAATCCGGCCATTATCTTTCTGTTGCGGTGTAAGTTCTTGCACTTTTTGGAATTTCAAAGGAAGGTTTTAAGCCTAGAAGGTTTTAAACCTATCAAACCCCTGTGGATAGTATTTTGACTATAAAAAGACCTGTGGAAGATATTTCGTCCATAGAAGACCTATGGATGGGATTTTTTCTATAGAAGACTCATGTGAGGTATACTTTTCATAGACACTTGCAGAAGGTGGAAGGTATTCTTTCCACATAAGGCCTAAGAAGACCTTAAAAGACCTGTAGGAGATCTTCTGTATATGGAAGATATTCCGTCCATAGAAGACCTATGGATGGGATTTTGTCCATAGAAGACTCATGGGAGGTATACTGTTCATAGAAGACCTGCAGAAGGTGGAAGGTATTCTTTCCACATAAGGCCTAAGAAGGCCTTATAAGACCTGTAGGAAATCTCCTGTATATGAAAGACCTGTGGTGGGTTTTCTGTCTATGGAAAATCCGGGCATGATCATCTGTGCGTAGAATACCTTTAGAAGTTTTTAGCCTATCAAACTCCAGTGGATATTATTTTGTCCATTGAAGACCTATTTAAGATATTACGTCCATAGAAGACCTATGGATAGGATTTTGTCCATAGAAGACTCATGGGAGGTATAATGTTCATAGAAGACCTGCAAAAGGTGAAAGGTATTCTTTCCACATAAGGCCTAAGAAGGCTTTAAAAGATCTGTAGGAGATCTTCTGTATATGGAAGACCTGTGGAGGGTTTTCTGTTTATGGAAAACCTGGGCATGATCACCTGTGCGTAGAATGTCTGTAGAAGTGGATATTATTTTGTCCATTGAAGACCTGTTTAAGATATTCCGTCCATATAAGACCTATGGATGGTATTTTGTCCATAGAAGACTCATGGCTGGTATACTGTTCATAGAAGGCCTGCAGAAGGTCTTTTGCCCTCAAACGACCTTTAGATGATATCCTATCCATAGAAGACCTGTAAAAGGTCTTCTGACTATAGAAGATCCTATGAAAGGTCTTCTATCTACAGAATACCTGTAGAATAGATCAATGTTGGCTTGTTTGTTCGGGATACCATAGTAGGAGATCTTCTTTATATGGAACACAGGTTTTACGTCTGTGGAAAACCTGGACATAATTATCTGTGCGTAGAATGCCTGTAGAAGGTTTTAAGCCTATTAAAAGACCTGTAGAAGATATTCCGTCCATAGGAGACCTATGGAAGGTATTTTGTCCATGGTTGGCATACTGTTCATAGAAGACCTGCAGAAGGTCTTTTGCCCTGAAAAGGCCTGTAGATGGTATCCTATCCATAGACGACCTGTAAAAGTTCTTCTGACTATAGAAGATTCTATGAAAGGTCTTCTATCTACAGAATACCTGTAGAATATATTATGTCCATAGACGACTTCTGGCTATGGAAGACCTGAGGATGGTATTCTGTCTATTGAGGACCTGTGGATGGTATTCTGTCTATATAGACGAACTGTGGATGATATTCCATCCATAGAATACCTGTATATGGTATTCAGACCATAGAAAACCTGCGGATGTTATCTTGTCCATAAAAGTCCTGTAGGTGGTCTTCTGACTGTAGAAGATCTATAAAAGGCCTTCTATCCATAAAAAAAAAACCCTGCAGAAAATGTTCTCTGTATTAAAGACCTAAGGAAGGTCTTCTGTCAACAGAAGATATGTGATTAGTATTCTGTCTATAGAAGACCATTAGATGGTATCCTGTCCATAGAAGACCTGTAAAAGGTCTCCCGACTATAAAACATCTGTGGAAGGCATTCTGCGTATATAGAAGACCAATGGTAGGTCATCTGTCTACAGAATACCTGCTGAATATATTATGTCCATAGACGACATGTGGAAGGTCTTCTGTCTATGGAAGACCTGTGGATGGTATTCTGTCTATAGAAGATCTGTGGAAGATATTCCATCCATAGAATACCTGTAAATGGTATTCAGGAAGAATACCATAGAAGACCTGTGGATGTTATCTTGTCCATAAAAGTCCTTTTCTGTTCATAAAAGATCTGTAAAAGGTCTTCTGTCCACAGAGGATATGTGCATGGTATTCTGTCCATAGAAAATCTGTAAATGGTATCCAGTCAGACGCCAAAACTCTTACTTTTTTTCATTTTATATCGGATATAGCACCAAATTTTAGAATAAGATTAGATTTGTTCGAATCGGACAGCTTTGGCACGAAATATGGCCTTCAAACGGCCAATGAAACCTTCACACGCTGAACGAATGTTGCTCTGCGGTATTTTGGCCCATTCCCGGCGAAGCGCTTGACTTGACTTGAACGACACTTTGGTATTTTTTAGTGCCAAACTTGTTTCTCAAAATACTCCAGACACAATAGACCAACGGATTGGTATCCGGAGATGTTGGTGGCCATTGTGCGCAGGAAATGAAGCGAGCAACCTCCTTTTTAACCATTCTTGGGTGGCGCGTGCTGAGTGCGATGGTGCTGAGTTGGAATCTCCAGGGTCTGCGGCCAAAATGTTTGCGTGTCCAAGGCTTTAATACACCCTCCAGAATATTTTCGCAATAATATTCGGCATTTATTTTGATGCCACGGTCGATAAATACAAGCGGAGAGCAACCATCGGCTGTTATGGCGGCCCACACCACCACCATGGCCGGCTTGAGGCTTGTGTTCTGGTGGCCAACCGAAGGTGAGCATTTTCAGCTGATCTCTTTGTCAAGTAAACACGATCATTTCGTTTTTTCACAAACTGCTGGAAGACGAATGTTTCTCATCGAAGAAAATCAAATTCGGCACTTCACCACTTTCGGCCAACTTTCGGCCGAAGCAAGTCTTTAGCTCTTTTGAGTCTTGTTGCGGTGTAAATTCTTGCACTTCTTGGAATGTCAATGGCTTTACCCCGAGCTCATTTTTCAATAATTGCCGAATGGAATATTGCGATATATTCAGCTCACGAGCCATTTTTCGGCCACTGCGACGAGGGTTTCGTTCAAGTCGCTTCTTTACTTTTCGAACCATTTCTGCGGATGTTGCTGTTTTCTTCCGTCCTCCACATCCACTTCCATGACATGGGGCTACGCTACCAGTATCACGGTAACGAGCGAGGGTACCAGACACAAAAGATTTATTCACATTTAAATGCTGGAGTGCTCTAACGATAGCCACTTGTTTTTCCAGTCAAATATAAAGAAATCACTCTATCACGCTTCCATCACGAATAACTTTTTTTCTGGAAAATTCTCACCAAAATGCTTCTGTACGCTTGTGAACAATATAATGAGCTGTCACTGAAATAATTTTAACAGCTGTCGGACGAGTGGCTTAGAAATGATAGCAGTCTGAAGTTGGTTGTAGTTTTTTCATCTCACCCTGTACCTCCCTATATTCGATATTTTGACGATATTAGATACAATAATCACCGAAATTGTTTGAAATTTCGTATTTTAATTTCCCAATAGGTACTACATCCTGTGACAGAAAATAGTCTATGGCTGCCTATATTCGGTGTTTTGATGATTTTTGCTATATTTCACCAATTTTTTTTTAATTTCGGATATTTATACTGTAATGGCTTATGAAAACGTCTGAAATTGGTTGAAGTTTTTTCATCTCAGCCTTCCCAAAGAGTTTCGAATTTATTGAAGTTTTTTTTAGAGGTCTTCTGGCCCTTTATCTAAAGTTAAAACACCTACTAGTCTTCTTAAAATAGGAGTCGTTTTTGTCATAAGAATCCTACACCCTCTTTCAAAGATGATTTTGCTTGTCCTTTCATAAAATATCTCACACTTATTGCCTTTTTGTTGTAAATTTTTCTTATTTTTTTATTTTTTATAAATAAATTTTTTATACCCCCTTTAAATAATCAAATATTCCCCCTTCAATTTATTAATATTTTTTATTTCTTTTTTATTTAATTCCATGTAATATAAAAACACACCAAAAAAAAAAAAACAAACAAAAAAATACAATCCTACGCTTCCTATTTTTTTGTAAAATATCAAAACAAAAAAACCAAAAAACCCACCCAAAACTGTTATCAAAACCCATGCTAAAATGGTGGTATTAACTCCCCAAAACTATGATCCATGTGAATATTGTATGTAAATATGCACTGCTTTTATTCTCAAAACCAAAAAAAAATGTGCAAAAACAAACCGCACCTAAATAACCAACCGACAAAAAAAAAACCTGCAAAACGTCTACGAAAATCCAACAAAAAAGGTTATGAATCCCTTGGATGCCCAGTGCAATGGCCAGCGCAACGATGCCATTTGTGTCAGCCAGCTGAAGAGTGCCCTGGAAATTGATCGTGGCATTTTGGCCGAGAAACCCGATGTGAAAATCTTCTTGCCATTCCGTTTCTATTTGTATCGTCCCGAAGAATTGTTCCAGCCCAATACCTACAATCGATTCTTGGGTAAGTTTTGCAGAAAGCTGGTTTTGGAAGTTATTTTAATTTGTTTTTATTTTATTTTTTCAGTGGCACCTACCGGCGATCATGTCATTTCATTGATCGATGAAATCTCATATCTCTCGGCACCCGCCCCCCTGACATCGCAATACAATGATATTAATCCTGAGCAATTCTGTAACGGTGATAATCGTCCAGCTGATTGTGGTCCAAATTGCATGTGCACCCATAAAATTGATATTCCGCTGAATGCTGTTGTCGAGGTGGTGCTGGTCGATGAAGGTAAGTGGGCAATGGAAAATGGGGGAGTACTTTATTTTGAATTCGAAACAAAAAAACGAACGTGAGAAGCAGGGAGGTAGCCAACAAATATCAAGTATTAATTTGTTAGGGGAGCGTATGAGGGATGACATAAAGCATACGCCCCACTATCAGCAATGGATTTAATGAAAAGTTGTCTAGAGCACCTTATGCGTATACTTGCTGACGTAACCTATACAACATAGGGGTTAAATAGATAAAAGGCCTCCTATTCACAGAATTGTTTGAATATCGCTTCTGCGGACAGAAATCGTTTTAGAGGCCTTCAAAAGGTGGATAAATTATTAAGGACTTTAAAAAATGTGCAAATCTCAAATTTTCAGCAGCTAAAGGAATTTATATAGCAGAACTTCTGCACAGTTTTATAGGTAACCGAGCTCTAAAAGGTCTTTCATGAGAATTTTTTTAAGGTAGAGAATTTTTGAGAGGGCCTATTTAAAGAAGACATATGCATGTTGTCTGTAACTAGAATGGCTTGTGGACTCTGACACATTATTAGATGACCCACATTTGGTCATCTGTAACAAGACGACTTTTCCGACCTCTCCTATCTATTCGGTATTCTATGGGTAACAGATCTTCTCTTAGGCGACCATAGATAGCTGACCTTCTCTAGGGCCTCTTGAAAAGCAGACGATTCAAAGATATTCAAAAAATAAGTACCATTAAAAGTCCATCCGAAGTCCAGTGAGTTTCACAGGACTTTTGTAAAGAAAATACTTTCTACAGGTCCAATATAACTAAAGGGTCTTCTGCGGGACCTCTATGAACTGGTGACCACTTTAATTAACAGAATACCTCTTGAACATCGTATATGGATGGATAATTTTGAAGAAAAGTATTATGTGGATGGATTACCTATCCAAAGATTTCTGTAGGCGGACAACCTATTAAAAGGCCCTCCACAAAACAAATGTCCGTAATGTCTGTAAAGAAAATATCTTCCACAGGTCCAATATAACTAAAGGGTCTTCTGTGGGACCTCTATGAACTGGTGACCACTTTAATTAACAGAATACCTCTTAAACATCGTATATGGATGGATAATGTTGAGAAAAAGTCTTAGGTGGATAGATTTCCTATCGAAGGACTTCTGTAGGCGGAAAACCTATTAAAAGGTCCTCCATAAAGCAAATATGCATTATAAGGTTTTCTATAGACACCAGGCATTTCAAAGATGTTCTATAGAAGGGAGACTTTCAAGTTACTTCTATAGAAAATAGACCCTTTTTAAGGTTTTCTATGGACAGGAAATTCTTCAGAAGTCCACTTCCTATAACAAATCCTCCGTCTACTAAAACAACTTTTAAGGGTCTCTAGTCTAAGGAGGACCTCTAACAAGTCCTCTGCCTGTATTCGATCTTTATGTTCTGTATACATACCACCCCTTAAAGACTCTTCGGTCCATAAAATACCTTTAAATGGTCTTCCATCTATAAATGACCCTTAAAGAGTCTTCCGTCGACAGAAGACCTAAAACGAGTCTTTCGTCTACGAAGCCCCTTGAAAACTCTTCAGATGTAGAACAGTTTTGAATTGTCTTTTGTCTATAGAATATACTTAAAGGGTCATCTGCCAAAGGGTTCCATTCGAGGATCATCTGTTCTTAAAAGACTCTTCTGCCTACAGAAGGCCATTAAAGGGAAGAGACTTAAAGATCTCTTCCGTCTATTGAAGTCCATTAAATGGTCTTTTAGGTATGGAAGACCTTAAATAGGCCTTCAATCTCCATGAGACCTGTTAAAGGTATCTGTCCAACAATCATTTTCAAGAGTCTTCGAACAACAGAGGCATTGTCCAAAGAATCATTTTCAAGAGTCTTCGGACTACAGAGGCGCTTGGAGAAGTTTTTTGAAGGGTCTTCTTTCAATAGAAGGTCACTAAAGAGTATTCTCGCTATTTTTGGCAGATATTCTCTTTACAGAAATCACCTGAAAGGTATATCCTCTATGGAAGGCCGTTAAGGTTTTTTTAATAGAAGTCTCTTCAAGGATTTTCTTTAAATAGAGAACCTTTAAATGTTTTTCTACATTAAATCGGTATTTTGCATATTCTCTCTAGTGATCTTAAGAGATATTCTACCTATAGTAGAACTTCTGTCTACTTAATGATCCACCCAATTTTTGGGTGTTACAGGCAGAACACGGCCCCTTAACCATCCTTTTCCTTTAGAAGACAGTCAAATAGTATTTTTTTCCTTAAAGGATCATCTATCAAAAGGTCCCCTTAAAGGACCATCTATCCTTAAAAGACTCTTCTGCCTAAAGAAAACTGTTGAGGGTATTCTCTAAACAGAGGACCTTTAAATGTTTTTCTGCATTACCTTACCCTTAAATCGGTCTTTTTCATATAAAAGGCCTTCAAGTGTATTCTCTCTCTCTAGGGATCTTAAAAGATTTTCTCCCAATAGAAGACCTTTATATAGTTCTATGTCTACTTAATGATAAACCCAATTTTCAGGCGTTACAGGCAGAACACGACCCCTTTGTCATCCTCTTCCTTTAGAAGACCCTCAAATAGTCGTTTTCCCAAGGGAATGTTTTTTACAGGTCTTTGATAGGCCTGTAATCGACTCTTAAATGGTTTTCTCTCTTCCGAAATATTTTAAGGAGCTCTGTCTGTCGAAAAGAGGATATTTTATTTATTTGAGACTCTTAAAGGGTCTCCAAAAGGCTTTTTAAAAGTTTCCTAAATGTATAACACCCTTTAACAGTTTTTATGGTCTGAATATCTGAAAAATTCCAAGAAAAACCTCAAGCTCCCTATTGGTAGAAGAGCTTTTGCCGATTTTCTCCTATATTTAAAAGATTTTTGTTTTTAACAGCTTAAAGACTGGTTTTTAGGGTCAAGATATTCTAAGGTAACCAAGCTCCTCTATGGAACTCCGTTCGAAAGTCGGAGAGTCCAAACTCGGTTCGATAGTCGGAAAAACCTTCTCATTTCGTACATTAGTCCGGACCGACTTCCAAACGAAGGTTATATGGTTGGTTACGTGTTCCCTGACCGAGGAGTTGGCTAAAAATCTGTCATTTTGCCGACATACAGGACAATTTCGCAGCAAACTATGAGGGATATTCATTGGAAATTTTAGAGGGAAAAGTAGAGTTGTCGGACCGGATCCACAAGCCATATTGAGTTTAAATTATTTTCCGAGTTTTGCCCACAAGAACTAACTTTGGGGCTATACATGAACTGCACAAAAAAAGAGCAGAAAACTAAAAATTTTTCTCCGCCCAAAATTGCGTCGGAATACAAGAACACTATGAGTGAGCAGAAATTTGCTCCTCACGGAGTACCGAAACTCCCAAAAAAATGCAAATAAAAAGAGAGAATATTAGGATAGGTAAATATATTTCAGACCGAAGTCTCTCAGACGCATCGAAAAATTCTACAGACTACTGGCAAGCATGTCGGACGTCAGACAATTGAAGAAGGTCAGGAGAACTGAAGAAGATCATCCGCCTATAGAGTACAAAAAGGAAGTATTTTACTTGATTCGCTGGAAGATTTAAGATTTTTAGACCAATGGGTGCGTATACGTATTGTCAAAATGTATACAACACCATGAACCTTGCTTTTAGAAAACGCTTTCGACCCATTCAATGTCAAATGTGTTCCCAAACTTCAACGCCTTTGCTGTACAAAGGCATTCCCAGCTCTGCCCTCACCAGATTTGCAGATTAACACAGTCTGCCCACCAACCGGCCCCCCTATCCACAACAAAATCTCAACTTAGTATAAATATATACATTTTAGTAATTTCATTTTATTTGTTTAACAATAGAAACAATAATAATAATAACAACCATACTATTCAACAAACATCCAGCAAATATGGGTTTGGTCCAAAAAAATAAAACAAAATCGCAACACAGCTCATAAACAACAAATATAATTCGAAAACTATAGGTTTCCTAGAAGTAAAACCAAAAAAACCGGCAGCATAAATTCAATAACAACAGATAACCAAACCAAGCACTTGGCCTCGCAAAAACTCAAATCAAATGTAAAACAACAACAACAACAGCAATCGATTCACATACATAATATCACGAGCAGTTGTTACAAATGTGGGTTACAACCGTTCATGTATCGATCGTCGGACCGACCCATCTACCCACCTCTCCCGAAAAACACCATTCATTTATTGTTTTAAATTATGTACTAAATGTTGTTGGCCAACAAAAGCTGCAGCAAATCTCTAAATTATATGACCCATAATCAGACCAGATGAATATGCTGATAATTTGGTTGGGGGCGTATTTCCAGGAGATATACTTTTCAAGATTTTATGCGGATGCGAATAGAAAAATCGCAATAATTATTGTTTTCGAATTGAAACATAGAAATAACGTTTCTCAGCTACACGGGGAGAATAACTGTCCTATGATTCATGCACGTGTTATACAGTGGGCTCTCGATAACAGAAGTCTGCAATTACATTTACTAACAATATAAAAGAAATTACCAAGATTTCGGACATCATGTTTAATGTCATACTCATAATATATCCCCGTTTAAATTGCTACCAGAATGGATAGGGAATTTCAGATATTTTTAGTGACGTAAAATTTGTCATTATTTTTCGGAACCGAAAAAAAATGTTTCAATTCTTTGCATCCGTAAATTATTGCACTTTATTGTGCCACGGTCTGACATCAGCAAAAGGTTTTTCTGGGCAAAAATCCCAACTGAGTCATTCGTGCGTTGGTAGATGTTGGCGGGTGCAGAGAACGGAAACATTTAAAATTGTTGCTTTATTTCAATACCTTTTTGTTGCTTTTGTTCTTTGATTTTTTTTTGATACAACGTCATAAAGAATTGGGTGGGTGCAACAGTAATTGTTTTGAGTTTATCTCTTTTTGGATTTCGGTCTGTTTGATCTGATTTTCATGCGCTTGCAGCGAAGAGAATGAATATGAGCCGTTCCATGATATTAAAAACAAAAGAAAATTATTTTTGGTTTTAAATAAAAGAAGTTTAAAATGTAATTTAAACTACAATACTGGAATGGTAATAGGTGGCGTATACTTAACGACAACAGTCATACGCACTGATATTCGTATTTTGTCAATGAAGAAAGAAAAGAAAGCCCTCCATAGATGTAATGTTTTGTCCTGGAATCCTGGCTGCTATTCTCTCCACAAAATTCTGGAAGACGATTTTCGATAGAAGGCCTGACTATGGTAACTTGTCAATATGTCCAGATAAAAGCACCTGGATAAAGAAGACACGGAGAGACATTTCGCCTACCGAAGAAAACCCGCAGGAGGTGGAGATTTTCTGTCTATAGAATATTTGGAAAAAGTCACAAGTTTTTAAACGAACTGAAAACGGTATTATTTCCATTGATGACCTGAAGAAGGTTTTTTGACTATAGAAGAGCTGCTAAAGCTATTCCTTCTTTATAAGATCCGAAGAAGATTTTCTGCTCATAGGAGAAGGGGTTTTCGATTTATTGTTTATTTATTTCTAGTTTGCTGAATGAGATCTGAAGAAGGTCTTCGTTTTAAAGAAGACTAGAAGGAGGTCTTCTGAAGAAGGCGAAGAAGACTCGAAGAAGGTCTTCTTTTCATAGAAAGAGATCTGAAGAAGGTTTTTGGTTCATAGAAGAAGATCATCTGTCTATATATATACTGAAGGAGAGCTGAAGACGTTCTTATGTCTACTGAAGATATGAAGGAAGTCTTCGGTTTAAAGAAGAACTGAAAATGGTCTTTTGTCTACAGAAGACCTAAAGAAGGACCTCAGAATTTAGAAGATCTTAAGGAGATCTTCTGTCTTTGGAAGACCTGAAGCAAATCTTCTGCCTATAAAAGGTTTCCTGTCTATGGAAGACCTGTAAAAGGTCTTCGACATATTGAAGATTTGCGAAGGTCTTCTACCTATAAAAGATCGGAAAAAGATCTTCTCTTCATAGGAAACGTGGAAAAGTTTTTCCTTCTGTAGAAGACCTATAAAAGGTTTTTTGTCCATAGAACACCTAAAGAAGGTGTTTTACCTATAGAAGACCTAAAAAGTGCCTTCTTGTCATAGAAAACGTTAAGATCTTCCGTCAATAGAAGGCCTGATGGAGGTCATATGTCTATAGAAGGGCAGAAGAAAGTCTTCTTTCTATTGAAGATCTGCATAAGGTCTTCTGTCAATAGAATATTTTAAAAAGAACCTGAAAAAAGTCTCCTGTCTATAGAAGACCTGCAGAAGGTCTTCGGTCCATGCAAGACCTGCAAAAGGTCTTTTGTCTATAGAAGACCTGCAGAAGGTCTTATGTCCATAGAAGACCTGCAGAAGATCTGAAGACGGTGTTTTATCCATAAAAGACCTGAAGAAAGTCTTCGGTCTATAGAAGACCTGAAGAAGGTATTCTGTCTATAGAAGACCTGGAGAAGGTCTTCTGTCTATAGAAGACCTGCAGAAGGTCTTCGGTCTATAGAAGACCTGCAGAAGGTCTTCGGTCTATAGAAGACCTGCAGAAGGTCTTGCCTATAAATGACCGGACGAATGTCTTCTATCTATAAAATACCTGAAGATTTTTTTTTCTATTCATAGAAGTCCTGGAAGATGTCATCTGTCTATAGAAGCCCTAAAGGACTCCTGACGACAGTTTTCTGTCTATAGAGGACGTAAAGTAGGTTACGGTTTAAAAACCAGAAAAAGGTCTACAGCAGGGCTTGAAAAAAATCTTCAGTATATAGGAGACCTGAACAAGAGCTTCTGCCTAAAGAAGACTTGAAAAAATATGTTGTCTTCTATAGACTTCTGAAGAAGGTCAGAAGAACTGAAGAAGGAGGGCATAAAGGAAGCATTTTTTCTATAGCAAACCCTGTTTATAGAAAATCTGTAGTAGGTTAAAAACTTGATCTTCTTATCCCTATATAAACAAGTAGTAGATCTGAAGAGAATCTTCGGTTTATAGAATATTTTTAGAAAGAACTTTAGCCAAAGATTGACTCTACCCACAGAGTAACTGGAGACTTGAAGGTCTTTGGTCGACTGATGATCTAAGGAATATCTGAAGAATATTTCTTCTTCTAGCCAGTGTATACAAAATCTGTAGAAAGTTTTGCCTCTTTAGAAGAATCTAGTCTTCCATCCATAGAAGGTCCTTTTAAGGACCTCTGTCTGTAAGAAACTGGAGAAAAGACTTCTGTGATCAAAAGAGTTTATGTTATTTTACTTTGGCATACCAAAGACCTGAAAATCTGCATTTACATAAGACCTTAGAACTGTATACTTCTACAGAAGACACGGGAATGGGTTATTTATAGGCATAAAATAAACCTCTTTATAAAAAAGACTTAAATCTTATTCTACAGAAGTCATGGAGAATTTCTTTTGTCTATAGGTCAAACGAAAACGGTACCTTCTGGGCATAGAAGACCAGAAAAAGGTGTTATGGCCACAGAAATCCTTTTTTTTTTTTTCATAGAATACTTGTAGAGGGGAAAGGTATGGCCTTGGAAAGGTATTATGGCCAAATTAATCCATCTTTCCTTAGAAAACTTGAAAAGGGTCCACAGAAGTAGTTTATCAGTTTTCGGTCGATAGAAGGTCCAAGTGGCCTCTATAAATTTCTAGGAAAGGATATAGATATTCCATGTGTAGGATGGCGGGGGGAGTTCTTTCCGTCTATATAAAAATAAGATTTTTTGTCCTATATTTTTGCTACCTATCTATAGGTTCCATATTCGTAAAGGTATGACCAGAGAAATCATTTTTTATAGAAAACTTGTAGAGGAAGGAAGGTATGATCATGGGAAGGTATTATGGCCAAATTAATCCTTTTTTATATTTACAAAAGTATATTAGCAGATTTCCGTCGATAGAAGATCCAAGTGGCCTCTATAAATTTCTAGAAAAGAATACTGGTATTTCATATGTGGGAGGCTGGGTGGAGGTCTTCCCGTCTATGTATAAATAAGACTATTTGACCTATATTTGTGCTATCCTATCTATAGGTCCCATATTGGGAAAGGTATGGCCAGAGAAATTATTTTTTTTATAGAAAACTTGTAGAGGAAGGAAGGTATGATCATGGAATTGTGGCCAAACTAATCCATCTTTCCATAGAAATATTGAAAAGGGTCGAGAGAAAGATTTATATTTACAGAAGTATTTTAGTAGATTTCGGTCGATAGAAGGTCTAAGTGGCCTCTATTAATTTCTAGAAAAGGATACTGGTATTTCATATTTGGGAGGCTGGGTGGAGGTCTTCCAATCTATGTATAAATAAGACTTTTTGACCTTTATTTGTGCTACCTATCTATAGGTCCCCTATTGGTAAAGGTATGGCCATAGAAATCCTTTCATTCCATAGAAAACTTCTAGAGGGGAAAGGTATGGCCATAGAAAGGTATTGTGGCCATTGAAATCCTTTTTTTTTCATAGAAAACTTGAAAGGGGTCCAGAGAAGATTATATATTTACAGAAGTATCTTAGCAAGTCCAGGTGGCCTCTATTAATTTCTGGAAAAGGATACAGATATTCCATATGTAGGTTGTCGGGAGGAGTTCTTCCCGTCTATGTATAAATAAGATATTTTGTTTTATATTTATGCTACCTATCTATAGGTCCAACATTGGTAAAGTTATGGCCATAGAAATCCTTTTTTCCGTAGATGGGAAAGGTATGACTATGAAAAAGTATTATGGCCAAAATAATCTTTCTTCCCATAGAAAAAAGGGTCCACAGAAGATTTTATATTTACAGAATTATCTTAGCAGGTCCAGGTGGCCTCTATTAATTTCTAGAAAGGATACAGATGTTATATATGTAGGATGGCGGGAGGAGGTCCTCCCCAATCGTCTATATAAATAAGATTTCTTGCCATATACATATTTATGCTACCTATATATGCCCCATATTGGCAAAGGGCCCTCAATAGGCCTGTTCGTTTAAAGGGAATCTAATTTATTCTATGTTGACATTATGCAAGGCCCTTATAAAGAAAATAATTGTCAAGGCTCTTACAATTAGGGAAGGTCTCAGTCTCTCTCTTTCCCTCTCGCTTTTTCTCTCTCCCTCTCTCGGGGGATATTAATATAATTTAATAAAACATTTAATTTTAATATTTTTTTCTAAAATTTTCTAATTCTCCATATTTCCAATCTTTTTTTAGTCCAACAACCCAACTTGTCGCATCCCTTCCATTTGCACGGCTATGGCTTCAGTGTTGTGGGCATTGGCCGTTCGCCCGACACCAATGTGAAGAAGATCAATTTGAAACATGCTCTCGATTTGGATAGACGTGGCCTGTTGCACAGACAATATAATTTGCCACCAACGAAAGATACCATTGCGGTGCCCAACAATGGTTATGTGGTGCTGAGATTTAGAGCTGATAATCCTGGTAAGAAGAAGAAAAAGAAATCCTTTTTATAGGGAAATATTACATTTTTGTGTTTTTTTTTAGGTTTCTGGTTATTCCATTGTCACTTCTTGTTCCACATTGTCATTGGCATGAATCTGATCTTGCAAGTGGGAACAAATGCCGATTTGCCACCAGTGCCACCAGGTTTCCCAACATGTGGTGATCACACACCACCCATACCAATTAATTAAAAAAACAACGCAACAACTAACAAAATATTTTGGAGAAAATTTTTACAAAACACCAACAAGACAAGAAGTTTCCTACAGACCGGATAAGAAATTTTCTCTAAAGAAAAACAAAAAACAAACACAAAACGAAAAGACAAGAACCCATGTACAAAGAATAAAAGACAAACAAACACAGACACACACAAGAAAAACAAAACTTAACGAAAACTAAACGAAAAAGCTGTACAGAGAATGTAAAAAAAAATCACTCAAAAACAGTTGAAAGCTTTTTGCATATCTAAAGCTGTGTGTAAGCTTTTAAAGGCGTTTTTTTCAAAGCACTGCCTTGATGTGTTAAAGGCTCTCTTAAGACAAAGTCAATGGAAACACATTTAAAAAAAAACACTTCTATGCACTTGAAATGAAAGGGGAAAGCTTTAAGCTTATCATTTGAAACCCAATAAGCCATAAAAAAGCTTAAAGCTTCAAAGCAAAAATAACATATTGTCCCGTTCATTTCACAGTGCAATAGTCATAAAATTATTAAAATAATTTTTATAAGATTTTCTTCATCTTTTTTTTTGGATTTTCTTTTATAAAAAATTAAAAAAAAAAATTAATTAAAAAAAACAAAAAATTAGTAAATTATATTTCCCCTTTCCACTGTTCTATTTTTTAAACAATTTTCACAGTGCCTTAATTTTTTGTGTAAATTAAATTCTTTCAATTTTTTACATAATTTTCAAAATATTAAAAAAATTCATATTTCAAAAATTTTTGTAAATTTTTCCCTCCTCTTCATTAACTGTTTTGTAAATCAATCAACCACTTGCCCCGTCGTCTTATTTCTTTACATAATAAATTTTAAGTGAATTATTTTCTTGATATATATACCCACATATACACACATCTGTATGTGTGCAAGCTTAGTGTATATTATTACGTTTTTTTTTTTTTTTTGTTTGTAATTTTTGTTTTTTTCAAACAGAACTGCAATAGTTTTATTTTTAAACGCTTTTTTTTGCCTAGAGACTTTTGGGTAGATGAGAAACCCTCCCCGATGTCGTCGTCATGAAACTCCTAATGTTAATACCCCCACCCAGTTTTTTGTATTCCTTTTTTACTATTCCTCTCTGCTTATCCGTTGTTTTCTCTAAACGATATAAAGTTTTCCAAATTGTTAATTATTATAATCTTAATATTTGTTTTTCTTTTTTATGTAAATGAGCCCTTTTGTTTTTATTGCTCCTTTTTTTATTTGTGTATAAAGAGACATGTAAAATATATGACATATTATATTTTTTTATACGAATATTACTGCCGTTAATATTAAATTTAATTATTTTTAATAATAAACTATGAAATAAATTATATATAAATAATAAATAATATATAATTGACTCCCTTGTATTAATTTTCTTTCATTGCACAAATAACCACAAAACCGTACAAGGTTTTTGTAAATACATCAATCCCCCATCCTTTAGGATTTCAAACTCACACGAGTCCAAATCAAATACAAAAAAATTGTATAAAAAAACCAAAAATTTAAAAAAAAAATATAAAACAAAAAAAAATTTAAATATCCCAGACTGGGGTTATTAAATGCCCCATTCTGGGGTCTGTGAATTTTTTTCTATAAAAAAAACTCATATACTGGGGCTGCGAATTTTTTTCTAAGGAAAAAAACTCCCACCCTTTGTCTGGGTTATTTTTTTTCTATAAAAAGAAACTCCCAACCCATTCTATAAAAAAACGTCCATCCTGGGTCTGGGAGTAGTTTTCGCATCCTGGGTCTGGGAATTGTTTCCCGGGTCTGGGATTTTTTTTTTCTATAGAAAAAAACTGCCATACTGGTGTCTGGGAATTTTTTTCTATAGAAAAAAACTGCCATACTGGGGTCTGGGAATTTTTTTCTATAGAAAAAAACTGCCATACTGGGGTCTGGGAATTTTTTTCCATAGAAAAAACTGCCATACTGGGATCTGGGAATTTTTTTCTATGGAAAATAACTGCCATACTGGGATCTGGGAATTTTTTTCTATAGAAAAAACTTGCCATCCTGGGGTCTTGGAATTTTTTTCTATAGAAAAAACTTGCCATACTGGGGTCTGGGAATTTTTTTCTATAGAAAAAACTTGCCATACTGGGGTCTGGGAATTTTTTTCTATAGAAAAAACTTGCCATACTGGGGTCTGGGAATTTTTTCTATAGAAAAAAACTCCCATACTGGGGTCTGGGAATTTTTTTCTATAGAAAAAAACTCCCATACTGGGGTCTGGGAATTTTTTTCTATAGAAAAAAACTCCCATACTGGGGTCTGGGAATTTTTTTCTATAGAAAAAAACTCCCATACTGGGGTCTGGGAATTTTTTCTATAGAAAAAAACTCCCATACTGGGGTCTGGGAATTTTTTTCTATAGAAAAAAACTCCCATACTGGGGTCTGGGAATTTTTTTCTATAGAAAAAAACTCCCATACTGGGGTCTGGGAATTTTTTTCTATAGAAAAAAACTCCCATACTGGGGTCTGGGAATTTTTTTCTATAGAAAAAAACTCCCATACTGGGGTCTGGGAATTTTTTTCTATAGAAAAAAACTCCCATACTGGGGTCTGGGAATTTTTTTCTATAGAAAAAAACTCCCATACTGGGGTCTGGGAATTTTTTTCTATAGAAAAAAACTCCCATACTGGGGTCTGGGAATTTTTTTCTATAGAAAAAAACTCCCATACTGGGGTCTGGGAATTTTTTTCTATAGAAAAAAACTCCCATACTGGGGTCTGGGAATTTTTTTCTATAGAAAAAAACTCCCATACTGGGGTCTGGGAATTTTTTTCTATAGAAAAAAACTCCCATACTGGGGTCTGGGAATTTTTTTCTATAGAAAAAAACTCCCATACTGGGGTCTGGGAATTTTTTTCTATAGAAAAAAACTCCCATACTGGGGTCTGGGAATTTTTTTCTATAGAAAAAAACTCCCATACTGGGGTCTGGGAATTTTTTTCTATAGAAAAAAACTCCCATACTGGGGTCTGGGAATTTTTTTCTATAGAAAAAAACTCCCATACTGGGGTCTGGGAATTTTTTCTATAGAAAAAAACTCCCATACTGGGGTCTGGGAATTTTTTTCTATAGAAAAAAACTCCCATACTGGGGTCTGGGAATTTTTTTCTATAGAAAAAAACTCCCATACTGGGGTCTGGGAATTTTTTTCTATAGAAAAAAACTCCCATACTGGGGTCTGGGAATTTTTTTCTATAGAAAAAAACTCCCAGTACTGGGGTCTGGGAATTTTTTTCTATAGAAAAAAACTCCCATACTGGGGTCTGGGAATTTTTTTCTATAGAAAAAAACTCCCATACTGGGGTCTGGGAATTTTTTTCTATAGAAAAAAACTCCCATACTGGGGTCTGGGAATTTTTTTCTATAGAAAAAAAACTCCCATACTGGGGTCTGGGAATTTTTTTCTATAGAAAAAAAACTCCCATACTGGGGTCTGGGAATTTTTTTCTATAGAAAAAAAACTCCCATACTGGGGTCTGGGAATTTTTTTCTATAGAAAAAAAACTCCCATACTGGGGTCTGGGAATTTTTTTCTATAGAAAAAAACTCCCATACTGGGGTCTGGGAATTTTTTTCTATAGAAAAAAACTCCCATACTGGGGTCTGGGAATTTTTTTCTATAGAAAAAAACTCCCATACTGGGGTCTGGGAATTTTTTTCTATAGAAAAAAACTCCCATACTGGGGTCTGGGAATTTTTTTCTATAGAAAAAAACTCCCATACTGGGGTCTGGGAATTTTTTTCTATAGAAAAAAACTCCCATACTGGGGTCTGGGAATTTTTTTCTATAGAAAAAAACTCCCATACTGGGGTCTGGGAATTTTTTTCTATAGAAAAAAACTCCCATACTGGGGTCTGGGAATTTTTTTCTATAGAAAAAAACTCCCATACTGGGGTCTGGGAATTTTTTTCTATAGAAAAAAACTCCCATACTGGGGTCTGGGAATTTTTTTCTATAGAAAAAAACTCCCATACTGGGGTCTGGGAATTTTTTTCTATAGAAAAAAACTGCCATACTGGGGTCTGGGAATTTTTTTCCATAGAAAAAACTGCCATACTGGGATCTGGGAATTTTTGTCCATAGAAAAAACTGCCATACTGGGATCTGGGAATTTTTTTCTATGGAAAATAACTGCCATACTGGGATCTGGGAATTTTTTTCTATAGAAAAAACTTGCCATCCTGGGGTCTGGGAATTTTTTTCTATAGAAAAAACTTGCCATACTGGGGTCTGGGAATTTTTTTCTATAGAAAAAAACTCCCATACTGGGTTCTGGGAATTTTTTTCTATAGAAAAAAACTCCCATACTGGGGTCTGGGAATTTTTTTCTATAGAAAAAAACTCCCATACTGGGGTCTGGGAATTTTTTTCTATAGAAAAAAACTCCCATACTGGGGTCTGGGAATTTTTTTCTATAGAAAAAAACTCCCATACTGGGGTCTGGGAATTTTTTTCTATAGAAAAAAACTCCCATACTGGGGTCTGGGAATTTTTTTCTATAGAAAAAAACTCCCATACTGGGGTCTGGGAATTTTTTTCTATAGAAAAAAACTCCCATACTGGGGTCTGGGAATTTTTTTCTATAGAAAAAAACTCCCATACTGGGGTCTGGGAATTTTTTTCTATAGAAAAAAACTCCCATACTGGGGTCTGGGAATTTTTTTCTATAGAAAAAACTTGCCATACTGGGGTCTGGGAAATTCCCATCCTTGGTCTGGGAATTTTTTTCTATAGAAAAAAACTCCCATCCTTGGTCTGGGAATTTTTTTCTATAGAAAAAAACTCCCATCCTTGGTCTGGGAATTTTTTTCTATAGAAAAAAACTCCCATCCTTGGCCTGGGAATTTTTTTCTATAGAAAAAAACTCCCATCCTTGGTCTGGGAATTTTTTTCTATAGAAAAAAACTCCCATCCTTGGTCTGGGAATTTTTTCTATAGAAAAAAACTCCCATCCTTGGTCTGGG